GAGAGAGAGAGAGAGAGAGAGAGAGAGAGAGAGAGAGAGAGAGAGAGAGAGAGAGAGAGAGAGTGTGTTCTAGACAGCAGTGATGCAGGTTGATCACTAGCCCTGTTAGGTAGCATTGACATCTCCACCTCAGAGCTGGCACACAGGGGACTTATTGATTAGCATTAAGCATCCATGCAGATGGCCAATAAAGAGCACGTGAGCCAAAGAGGGTCTGGGGAGTGGAAACCATGAAGGTGCGTGTGTGCATGCGCACATGTGTGTGTTTATCTTGAGGCTGCAAGAGGAGGAGGTTAAAGCAGTACAGCTATTGCAGCCGAAGCAAGACTTCTTTCAATAGAAGACGAAAACTGTCACAAAATGTTGACCCCTTTTAAACATTTTTGTTTCATTTGACTCATCGTTCCAAAAATGCGAGCTCAGATTTTATTGGTAACATTTGATTTATCTGAGTTGGAGAGCAGATAATAGATGGTCTTGACCCAGAAGACGTGTTTTTCAGTATTTCCTGTGTTGCTGCTTCAGGTACAAAAAAAATTACATAAGTTTCTGTGTGCGTGTCAGATTTTGTGCATCAGTCTATAACGTTCCTGTCATGTCTGTCACTCGGAATATCATGCAGACATCATTGATCCTGAGGGTGCTCACAAACTTTTTTTTTCTTTTCTATAAGAGTGCTGAACAGTGCTTGAATATAACTTTTGTGGCACGCTGTACAGGAATACCAAGAAATACTTTTGATCTTAGCTTTGTCACATTTCTGAAGGCTCTGAAAGGGGGAAAAAATGTGAAAGCCACCTTTAACATCATATTTATTGTTATTTAGTTACTCAATAAAACATATACAGATATATACAATATGCAGGAAAACAGACGACTGCACTTTACATATTAATAAAAAAAGAAAATAACAAAAAAAAATCTGTTCGTAAATTGCCGTCACAGTCCTCCATTTATTGTTTGAGAAGTTCAAAGTCAACAGAAGCTTTATTTAAAGGTTACAAGATTGCCTAACACACAGCAAATTTTCTCTTATTATACATGTGCAATACCGATAATCTTTTTTTTCAATTTTCTGTATTAAACAAACCCTTGATTTCCTTTTTTTTAGTTCTCATTGGCTGAATTGTATACAAGTAGCTCACAAGATGAATAGCAGAAAAAAAGTAAAAGACAATGAGGGAAAGCTATTTAAGCTGAACTGAAAGAGAAATATTATAACAAGTTTTATCTCTGGGAGCAGAAAACAAAAGAGGTAAAAAAAAAGTATGTTCACAAGGAAATTGCTGAGTTACATTCATGCATAATCTCTCCTCTGCTAGGCGTCCTCTGGGTCTGCTTCTTAGTGTTCTGGCAACTTTTAATAAACCTGCAGGCCCTATCTCTCTGTGGGCTGCAAAATCCCTGTGTGGAGAAGAATTTTGGCCTGGAAATGGTGAAATGTCTCCAGCACAAAAAAAAGCAGATAACTGAGGTAAGGGCAGACAAGCTGCTTTTAACGACAGAGTCAAAGCCATGAGGTTGCGCCACAATACTACACCCTGCTATACAATAGAAGCCAATGACAACCGACATCTTTTCTTTGCCTTTATGTTTCCTTTAACATTTATTTACTTATTTATTTTCTTCTACAAAGAAATTAAAAGAAAAAAACATGGATTTGAGGTTTTCCAGATGTGGGCATCAATGAGTCATGCCCACACTGTGTTGTCCAGCAAAATGAGAGAGCTTTCTTACTTGTTTCAGGAAAACAAACAAACAAACAAAAAGACATTTGTGTTTGTTGCTATGTGTGTGTGTGTGTGTGTGTGTGTGTGTGTGTGTGTGTGTGTGTGTGTGTGNGTGTGTGTGTGTGTGTGTGTGTGTGTGTGTGTGTGTGTGTGTGTAAGTACGTTCATGTTTGCTTGTAAAAGTCCCTCTCCCTGAACAGGCAAGGGCCGTAGTCATCATCAATAGATTTTCATCAATGTCCTCGTTTTTTTTTTAAATAAGTCTCTGAGGTTGTTTTTCTGGTTTTCTAATTCTCCATACTTCTTTCTCCAGACCTGTTTCTTCTTCAGTTTTTTTCTATTCCCTTTTGTTTTTGTTCAAGTCAGAGCTGCGACAAACGTCCCAAAACGATTCGAGATGTCAGAATGGAGCGAGCGCCAAGAGGAGACGGGTCCCCCTCGGCCTTTACTGTCCCCCAGCTCATCGGTGCAGTGGACGGACAGGCACTGCAGGTGGTTCCCGCCGCTGCTCCCACCTCCTCCAGCTCCGGTGGCGGCAGCTCCAGCCTTACTCTGGGAGAGCTCCGGTTCTGCAACCAAGCACAAAGCAGGGCGAGAGGAAAAAAGGAGATTTAGGACTTTGCAAAAAAAATTAAAAACTAAAAAAGGAGAAACAACTCTAAGCAGCTGGCATGCCCTGATACAGATGAATCATTTAAAATACACACATTTAATTAAACCAGTGTCATTTTCACATCCCACTCGAAATCTGCACTGTGAAATTAATTCAACACCATTCCACCCCCACCACCCTGCCATCGATAAGACCCAAATAGGAGCGTGCAAGCAAAGCTTCCGCTCCTCACAGTCCACCTCCTCACTGCCTGATATAAAGATGTGAAAACACACACGAGCTGGCACGTAAATCCGGAACACGCCTGCGCGACCTTCCCGTCAGAGAGTCAGGGGGCACGGAGGAAAGTGACCTTTAACCCTGCTTGGCCCAATTTACTGCTATAATGACTGTGACACAGCATCGACCCTGTGTCAGCAAGGTGTGAAGTCCTCGATTAAACGGCTGCAGAAAATCCATACCGGGGCTGATTATACATCATACGAAAACATATTTATATAAAGAGCCGACTGGGCTGACACCGAAGATGTATGCTTCATGCGGAGTGAAAAATCAGCTTGTTCCGCGCAACGAAACAAATTGCTGAGGAGAAGATCGACGAATGTGCTAAACTGTACCTGCGACTGTGTGGTCACAATTCGTCACAGCCTATCTGTCAAGGTTCAAACGGTGGCAAACAGAGGGTGGAAAAAAGGCAGAACACCGACAAAGTTTTAAAGAGAACGTGCAAAAAAAAAGGGATGGGGGGAACAGTAGAACAGATGCAGTGGTGAGGCGTTTTAAGGCAACACGCGATGCATCGTGTGCTTTTGGGGGTTTGCCTCCAAGCGAGCCCTGAGCCAAAAGAGAAGGCGCGTGTGAAGATGTTAGTGATCCTTCGTTTACATCAGTCCGATTAATCTCCCATCTCCTCACCACACAAAACGCACCACTACCTTTGCTTCGTGTGGATGGTTGAAACGAACCAGGTGAACTGCGTGAAGACACAAAAGCCTATTTTTTTTTAGGATCAGGGGACAAGTTGCATCTGAACCTAGAGACAAGTAGAAAACAGCTCTGACAAGCTGAGTTCATGTGTCAAAGAGGTGGTGGTGGTGGTGGGGCGATAGACGACAGCCTGGGCACAGAGGCTCCAGATATCACAACACTCCAGTCAGGGTGTTGCTCACCTAAGGGAAGTGAAAAGCTAACGTTCATGCTCGTATCCTCTACAAGCCTCCTCCTCTTCTTCCGTTAATCCTTCTGTGCTGTTTTTATCTCCGTTTTGCTCACTGCTGTCTTTTCTCCAACAAAGCTTGTGGCAAAAAAGAAGTCACACAGTTTGATCAGAATGCAACCAGAAGAAGACACAAAAAGCTAAGCTGGGTCTAGACTCGACCAAGACGTCAGGACACCCAGGACAGGCAGACAGAGAGGCAGATTTGCACGCACTGAGGCAGCGTTGCCCCCCAGCTGGTCTGGGCTGCGACCACTGGAATGGAAAAGTGAGGGAATTTGGTGAAAGGTCAGGCGACCAAGACTCCCGTTGTTCTCCGTTTCATCTGCTTCTATCACTGCTGGTCTCAGTAAAAAAAAAAAACCCTCTCCAGCCCAGAACCAGGAGCACGGTGAAGGTGGGGGGGTTGTCGGCGCAGAGGGGCGAGGCAACGACGGGGGATTTCAGAGCAGCGTTGGTGGTGGCTGTGACAAGATCTCACATTTGCCAGAGGGTACAGTCATACACCTCAGCATGGCTGATCTCCACCCCCTGCCAGCTTCAGCAC